CCCGACGCTTTATCTCACCTGCCCACGCCCACGCCCTCGCCCGCCACGCCCCTCCCTTTGCTGTCCCCTAACGCCCACTTTCATTCTCGCTCCCATTCCACGCGCCGCCTTATCGTCGCCCCCGCTATCTACCTTGACGTTCTTCCTTGTTCTCCGCCGCTGCCGTCGCTGTGTTTCACACCTCCTCCCAAGCTCACGGCCACTCTCCACCTCGCTTGCGTTTTCATTTACATTCTCAGTCCCTCTCTCATGCCCATCCGCGCTCTCAATGCCGCTGTCGTCTTCTTTCCCATTCTGTGGCCTTCGCCGCCACGTTGGCTTTCGTGCCCTCTCTTAAGCCCCTGTCCGTCGGCTTTTCCGCCGCCGAACAGCTCTTCTTAGCATTCGTCTACCTTTCAGCACACTCTGTCCTCGCATGTCCTTGCCTGTCCTCTCCCGCTCTCCGCCTTTTTTCCGCCCTCTCTGACTCTCTTCCATGCTACTGCACTGTTCTGTCCTGTCCTCTGCTGCCCGACATCGCTCAACAACGCCCGGTTGCTCATTGTTCACTCACTTCCACATCCTCCCCTCCCTCCACGCTTTTACTCCCGCCAGCTACTTTTCATCTCTTCCACACTCTTTCCACGAAATAGTGAAAGTTGTTGAGCATGGGCGAGAGCGTTTATCATAGAGACACCACTATCTGTAGGTTACTCAACCCTCTCCTATCCATTCCTCCCTTTCTCGTCTTCTGTTTCTTCTTCATTTCTCTGCCACTCTCTTACACACCTCATACACCGGTTTTGACTGCTCTTTACGTTCGCTCTCGTCCTTCCTCAAATTCTTTTCCTCCCCCATCGTTTCTATTCTCCACCATCTTCCATCATTATTCTTCTTCGTTGTCACTTCTCGCCCCCGCCTGCTTTTCTCACTCACCAATTGCTGTGGCTATCAAGCTCAATGGGTTGGCCTGGCCGCACAAACACTGCCAGCGTCTTTTGCAGGCTGTGCCAACCTTTCAGGCTACGAGGTTGGCAACGAGATATGTGCTCTGGTTTTCGCGGGGTTTAGAAGTAATCGTAAAAAGTATATTTTCATATTTGAAATATGAGATGCTTGGAGATTGAGGTAATTTATATTCTCAGACAATTCTTGTCTAGTTTAATACATTTATTGTGAAACCGCATTGTTGAACATTTGGAATATTTTCTAATAACGACATAGTTGCTGAGTATGTGTCTTGGATATGCGTCTCAAGGAAATGGAAAGGAAAGAAGCGGATTTCTAATAAATAGGGGAGTCCTATGTGAAGCACACTAGTTTTGAAGCAAATCGTTGTAACATTCTCTTCAAATGTACCTAAAAATACCACTTCTTTCAGAATAATCACTGAAGCTAAAAGACGAGAACACCTGTAAGGATGTCAGAGATCATTACAGCATTTATTGACATGAAGGAAGATGTTTTCTGTGTTTTAAAAGAGTCCATGCATACTTTTTGACCTTCAAGGAATGTAGATAGTAGATAGACACTAAACTACACTAAACTCGCATAACAATGAAATTTTGTTACAAACATCTCTCGTAGACTCTAAGATCCAGATAAAGAATTCCTATTTGTCAGTTCTGTCGTGCATTACTCTCCATATTAAGGTGTCGCCAGTATTGTCCTCTCTTCTCTAGGCGCTCCGCCGCTTAATCAGCTAAGCTGCCCGCGGGGCAGCGCTGGCCGCAGGGGCTGGGGTAGGGCTTGGTGCGGGCCGGCCGACCCCCGCGGCACTTTTAAACTCTTGACGTCTTCAATCCGTACATTACGGGTGAAAATACATTCCGAAAACATGTGTTATGTAATTAACGGTTGCTCTCTATGTAACTTTCTCCCCATTCTTTCTCGCTGTCTTTCTCAAGTTCTCTTTTTTCATCGTGTTATCTCACTCTCTGTCTTATTCTTTTGTTCTCGTTGTATGTCGTTCGTTTTTTCTAAAATTATCCTTCATTACCCTCTTCACCCACTGCTACTCCCTCTCCTCTCTTTCTCTCTCTCTCTCTCTCTCCCCTACCTCTCTCCTTTCCTCTTTCCTCTCTCACCTCTCTTCTGTCTGTCTCTCTCTCTCGGCGTTTATCACTAGAGACACCACTATCTGTAGGGACTCAACCCTCTCCATCCCATTCTCCCTTTCTCGTCTTCCTGGTCTATCTTCATTTCTCTGTCACTCTCTTACACACCTCATACACCGGGTTTTGATGCTCTTTACTTCGCTCTCGTCCTTCCTCAAATTCTTTTCCTTCCCCCATCGTCTATTCTCCACCATCTCCATTCATTATTCTTCTTCGTTTGCCAACTTCTCGCCCCCGCCTGCTTTTCTCAGCTCACCAATTTGCTGTGGCTATCAAGCTCAATGGGTTGCCTGGCCGCACAAACACGCCAGCGTCTTTTCAGGCTGTTGCCAACCTTCAGGCTACGGGAATTGTTCGGCAACGAGAAGTATGTGCTCTGGTTTCGCGGTTTACAAGCTAATCGGTAAAAAAGTATATTTCTATTGAAATATGAAAGATCTTGGAGATTGATTAATTTTTATTATTCTCAGCACCAATGTCTTTCTATTTACAACATTAGTTGTAAACCCATGAATGATTTTAACCAGTTGGATATCAATAAGACATAGTTGCTGATATGTGTCTGGAATACTGCGTCTCAAGAAATGGAAAAGAAGAAGCGGATCTATATAATACGAGTCCTAATGGAAAGCCACCCACTACTTTGAAGCAAATCGTTGTAACATCTCTTCATAAGATTCTACAAAGAATACCACTCTTTCAGAATAATCACTGAAGCTAAAAGACGAGAACACCTGTAAGGGATGTCAGACAGCATTACAGCATTTATTGACATGAAGGACCAGAGTATTTCTGTGTTTTTAAAAGATCCATGCATACTTTTGACCTTCAAGGAAGTGTACAGATAGTAGATAGACACTAAGACACACTAAACTCGCATAACAATGAAATTTTGTACAAACATACTCTCCTAGATTCTAGATTCCAGATAAAGAATTACCTATTGTCAGTTCTGTCGTGCATTACTCTCCATATAGAGATGTCGCCAGTATGTCCTCTTCTTCTTCAGGCGCCCCCCTTAAATCAGCTAAGCTGCCCGCGCAGCGCTGCGCAGGCTGATGAGGCTTGCGTCCGGCCGACCCCCGGCACTTTAACTCTTTGACCGTCTTCAATCCGTACGATTACGGGTGAAGAATACATTTCGAAAACATGTGTTAATGTAATGTATACCGGTTGCTCTCAGTAACTTTTCCCCATTCATTTCTCTCTGTCTTTCTTCAAGTCTCTTTTTTCATCGTTTATTTCTCACTCTCTGTCTTATTCCTTATTGTATCGTTGTTATGTTCGTTCGTTTTTCTAAAATTATCCTTCATTACCCTCTTCACCCACTGCTACTCCCTCTCCTCTCTTTCTCTCCTCTTCTCTCCCCTACCTCTCTCCTTCCTCTTCCTCTCTCACCTCTCTTCGGTCCTCCTCTCTATTATCTATCGTATCTATCCTCTTCTCTCTCTCTCTCTCTTCTCATCTGACTCTCTCGTTCTCTTCTCTCTCGATTACTACTCTTTTTTTTCCAAACACTCACACTATTCTAATTCTCTACCAGTTCCTTTACTTCATTTTTCCCATACCGATGTTTTCACATTCTTTGTGGTATCTTTCTATTTATTCGTACCCTCGCATCTTCAAACAATATTTTCTTAGTTCATTAGATATCTTCCTTCCTCTCTTCACTTGTATTCCCAAACAATCTAGTTTTTTAAATTTCTTTCTTCGCCGTTCCTGTCCAGTTCGCTCTTTCCCGCTTTTGTCTCTCCATCTCCATATTTCTTTCCCAACAAAACCACTTCTCCTCCTCTCCCTGTGTCGCGCCCGTGTAAGAGGCCGCCTGCCCCGGGCCGCCTCCACCCCCCGGCCCGCCCCGCCCCCGCCCCCTCCCCGCGAGCGCGCCGGTTCGCCCCCGCGCGCCGTGGCGGCGAATCCGTCCGGCCGCGATTTTTGTT